AATTACAAAACTTTTTAACGTGCGCTATGATTTCTGTGCAAGATCATAATTTTGTGTGTGTGTCCCATTCTTCCTTTTTTACACCAATAGTACATATGTATAAATCATGAATTAGTAATAAAATATGAATATATTGGATGAATATCGTTCGATAGGTATTTTTAAATAAAAGGTAATAAATACATACATAATTCATGGCAATTCGTAAGAAGACATATGTATATATATATCATTGGGGAGACGAAATGTGTATTCATGTTATAAAATTAAATGTGATATATTTATAGACGTGCATAAAGCAAAATATATCATAAAACAAAAATAATTGCATTATATGAAGAAATGGTGCAACGCATGATACATATATATAGGCTGAAGCACATGGTATGAATTACAATCTTTCAAAAACAAAAAAAAAAAAAATTATGTCATGAAATTATTCCGTTCTATCGAACACAGTCAATAGTGTTGTTAATTATACATAATCAAAATTGTAAGTACTCATATAATACTCGGTACATATGGCCCTGAGTAAACAATATACCATAAATATATATATAAAATACAATTATAACAAACATATACATTTTTTTATGTCTGTTGCACATAAATTTAAAACGTTGTTTTGTTATTATTCTTTTTATATACTATGATATATTTATTAATTTGTTCATAATCTTCATATTCACAGAAACTATTTTAATTAATTCTATATTTATGCGGTTCCCTCACTACAAAAGAAATTGAAAAATTACATTTTGCATTCAATATTATTGTTCTCTATCTTTATATTTTTTTATAAAATTTTAAAATATTTAAGAAACACAAAAATCCCATAAATATATTAAATACAGTATATTCTTACTATAGTTAATTCGCCACAGTATAATATGTGCTCTAAATATCATATCATAAGCGCTGCTATTTGAATCAGAACTAAAAATTTCTAATTAGTATTCCATTAATGCGTCCAATTGCTATTTTACGCATGATTTGAAATTGCAATAACCATTAGTATTACGCATTGTGTTATATTACGCTGTCTAAAATTATTTAGGAATACTAATAAAATACCATAGTAACTCATTTTATATAAATTACAATATTCATAATGCCACTATCATTTCTAGTACTTGCAAATAATTGTGCTATACACTTACATTTCATACAACTATTAAAAGCAACCAACCGTTTATTTACATTATTAAATTATTATAATAATTATAAAATTATTGTGTCCCTAATGAATAAATAATAAATTCAGACCACTTTTCAGTTAAAACATGAATTAATTCATGACACACCATGTTCCGATAATCAACTATTCTATAACTACTACAGAAGTACCACCTTATAACAATGAATGCCTCCTTAATTTAAACCTTAAACACTTAACCCGCTTAATTGAACTTTAACTATTTCAATAATGCGTAATTCTGGTTAACTATAAAAATGTTCCCCATACATACTATTTCACATTTTTCCTTACTATATTCAATTCCTTCCCTGGATCAACATAAAATCCTTTAATACTTGAATGATTACACCATTTTCCGTGTAACCAACAATATGCTTAAGTTCAAGAAAAGAATGTAACTCCATATTATACTTAGGACCTAAGGTAATACTTAGTAAACTTTAATAACTGCATGACTAATAGTAAATGTATAACTCCCTGTGCTCATGATGTCCAAAAGTATATTTTATGACTTCGTAGATTTATCTTTTTATCATTCACAACTCCACAAATTATGTACAATAATATGATATTTGTTACGTGTGTAAATGCATTTTTACCTGTACCTTTCATTTAATGAAGAAACACACTCCCCATATTAAATGGAAATCCTCCTTGTATCCAAAACTTAATATAATTTTAAAAGCTTATCTATTTATAAATAATCTTGGTAATGCTTAATTTAATGTAATTCTTTAATTATACTAGAATAAATTGACAATCTACTCCATTTATCTTGGCACTTTTTGATAACAGCGTCTAGAAATAATGCATTACTATTGCATCATTCGGATATCGAACAAATAATTAAATAAACATATAACATAAAATTGAATTCTTTTCAACAATATATGTATCTCCATACAATTCATATGTCAATATTATGCATTATAAATAGGTATGTATACTTTCCATAAGGATTACACTAATTTCCTTGTGTAGTAAAATATGTTCATAATGAACTCTCTTATACACATCATAGAGAATATAAGAACACTGATATAATGCCCTTCATTAAATATACTAACTGGATTTTACACTATACGTCTTTTCATAATGCTCATGTATTTATCATAATAAAAAATATTAAATTCCTCTCAACTCCCATGCATACATGCGTGGTATGCTTGTTCTTTATACATTTCTATCACGATCGATGAATCCTATTTTATATAAATTACTAATTCAAAATTTATTTATGTATTAGAATATGCACAACTATTATGTGCACAATGCGAAAAAGGAGAACTTATTCGTTCACTTCTCCTGACTTCAAAGTCTTAGCTACTTCATAAAATACGAATGCTATAAAATACGTATTATATTAATATATTTGGACAAGAAATTTCCAAAAAATTGCAAAATTTTGTTTTCATAAAATCATAAAGTTCAATCCACACAATGAGAGCAATTTTCCTGAAGTGGCCACCGAATGCAATAAATGATACTCTAATTATGCAAATAACGAATTTATAAACATAACCCTGAACCCTGAATATCCAAATATAAAAATAAAATAAGGTACCTTTCGTGCGCAAACCATTGAACTAGAATACATTTCCTAAAACAACAAAACATTACTCTCTAATTATATACTTCTTTACCCTCAATATCATTTGCTTCATATAATGTGACACAATAATTTTAAAGGCGTACTCAATGTATTTCCCTACAGCTGCCATATGGTGTGAAGTAACATATTCTCACAAATAGTACAAGTTCTACATTATATAAGAATATTTAGCACTTACACACATAATTTCATTTGTTCGCACCTGCTTATTTTAAATGAATATTCTTACCCAAGAGAAAAAAAAAAGGTATATTTTCATAGGTAGTTTATGTCGATTTTAAAAGCACTTTTATAAATTTGTTGAAAACAAAAAGAAAAGTAAAATATATCAAAAAAGGCAGATCGTTAAGTCACGTAAAAGCAAAAAACAAGAAATATTCATGTGTACGAGTATAAAGCCACACATCAAATTGTGGCAAAAAAAAAACTAATCCAAAAACACAATATTTCAACATTAATAAATAGAATTTACTCCAATAAGTAAAATCATATTTGTAAACTAAAAATGCGTATTTTATTAATGATACTAGAAATAGTAAAAAAAAGAATGTTATCTGTTCAAAATACTTATAAGAAAATGTTCATAAAAGTATGTATATATATATTATAAAACAAAATTCTGATACATGCGCTTCCTCATTTACTAATTGATAATATCCCGTTGAAAAAAGGAAAAAAAAAACAATGTGTTTTAAACATTATATAAGTAAAACTCCAAAAATTTTAATTATTATTCATATTGATCAATAATATGTTCTTAACATATAACATTCTAAAAATAATTTTTGAATTAATGATAAATTTCTAAATAATCGCACTATTATTTCCTAATACAGCAATACGTAATTATAATAAAAAATGTCTTCGAGCTACTAAAACAGGAATAACTTTCCTTATATATCAAACCCTTTTGTTCTTCAATGGAATTGATTGATACATTTCTTATATATTATGCCCTTTTTACTATTTTATAAAATATTATTTTTATTGAGGTATGGAAATATTCGCTACTTTCAATGGCACCCTATTATTAATATTTACAGAGCACACACTAATGCAAAGGCCTCATAATATTCATAGCAATCACGTAGATAACCTTTGTTTATATTATATGCATATTAATAACCGCACAGTGTGAAATATGTTTAACTATAATATAGTAAAAAGAATCGTAAGAAGGAAAAATCAAATTCAAGTAAAGAAGTAACAATGAAGTAATTAAAAATCATAGAATTAGTTACAAATACATTTCCTTATCACACTATATAAAATATATGGTTATGTATGTTATCTTCCTCATTAAAAACCTTATTACATTGTGCATTCTTACATAAAAAATTTTCAGATAAATATATGACAAATAAAAATATAATACAAACTTCACTGTGACTTGATTATTTTCATGAAATTGAGCTCTATAAAACACGTTAATTGAAATTAAGCTTATATATTCAATGCAAGAATATAAAAATTCTCAAAGAAATTACCTATGTGTATAAAATACAATGTTATTTTGTACAATTACATCAAATATAATTTTCATTAAAAAAGTGTGCTATAGAATAGAAAACTAATTACAATTTACATTACTTAAGTATTAATTCCTTATATATATATATACTTCGATTTTTTTTTGTGTCCTCAAATAAACACTTAGGTTGTTTATAGATGTTACAGCTACATTGAAATATATATATTAATCAATTTTTTTATGCTTCCTACTTTTAACACTATATAAATATATACAGTCTTATATTATACGTTACACAATAAAATACAGTAAATAGGAATAAGTGTTGGTAAACTTCGGTATATTATATAACTTATACTAAATTTAACGTCCATACTAATCTAAAACTTTATAATAATCTATGGAATATATATACACATTACGTAATTCATTTCGCAAATGTGACCCTTTAACTTCGCACAAGTTTTATTATTTTCTACTGTACTTATATATCCAGATTACAATGGAAAACCTGTATGCATTGCAGCGGTAATGATAGTATTATATTTCTATCTAATATTTCCTTTCTTCACTAACCCTGATGTATTCATTTACTTGAATATCATGCATTAAATGAAAGAGGTTATTAGAATATACTTTATTATATGTAAATGTTTAATCATTAATACTTATTACATATGTGTAATAACATAAATGCACATACTTAGTATGTCATATGCGGACATGCCTTTCCAAAAAATACAGAAACTAAAAACAATATAAATAAGTTCAGCTAATATTACGGACTTGACAAATTACATATTCAGAATTATTATTTCAGAAAGAAGTTTTTGCACATAAACCAGTCTTAGCTATCATTGATATACACACTGAATATTGCTTTAATAATAATAAACGAGATGGTTGAAGTTTCAACTGATATTAGTTACTCTACTAAGAGATTCGATCTGGTGAGGACACAAAGACACCGTTAAACCTAAATTAATATAATTCTGTAGTTCATCTCACTGTCGCAAGAAATATATACACGTCTACAAGAGTTATATACCCCTTTACAAGTGTTATTATATAGAATACACAAATGGGCAAAGACTAAGTTTCTCTATATTTTGTTACTATTTGAAATTATATTGGGCAAGAAATTATAAAAAGTTGTAGTGAAGAATTTAAATAGTTGTGTGTGATATGTAAAACGCACATTTGAAAGGAGTGACATGATAATAGGAAATAGTTATATTTAAAAGAATATGGAGAAAAATATAGAATTCACTAAACAATTAAAAAATTGCTATAGAAATTATTATGTTCCAGATGGATTATTGTGCGATCTATTTGCTATATATTTTAACTCCTCTTAAAATTAAGCTATGAGTAAATTCATAAAAAATTGTTTCAATATACATAGTTTTAATAATAACAATTGCTTTAGCGATGGCAGATGCAGCAGTAGATACGAATTCCACAAGTCAAAAAGCTGTAGCAAGTAAAAGCGATACAAATACTAATCCAGGACAAATACTAAAGTCTGCTGTATGGACAGTAGATGGTATAGTGAAATTCGTTCAAAATGAAATACTTTGTGCCCATATAAAGGATCGAACTCATGTTATTTGTGAAAATGAAGAAATAGCCATTGGAGTAGTGGTTTTTTTCGTTTCGACCGTGATTAGTATCTTATATGCCATTATTTCTAGAGTAAGAAATAATATTCCTTAACTTCTTTCATATAATATATAAATGTTTTATGAATACGTGCTAGAAAACTCTACACAATAAATGTATTATATATGTTTTATGTAATTTATTTTTTCTTCAGACTATTAAATATGCAAAAAAGTTACGCAGACGTAAAAAACGCTTTAAAAGAAAAAGAATAAGAGGAGCATTAGAAGGATATGAAGACGACGATGAAGAATACGATGAGGAATATGAATACCATGATGATGAAGACTGTGATGACGAAGACAGCTATGTACATGAAGCGAATTCATTACAAGGATTAATACATGCATGGCTACGACCTAATGACCAAAGGCATAAACATCAAATTTATCAACACCTAATGCACCAAGGAACAATGCTACCACCACAAATAGTGCATCCATCAATGCTACAACCACAAATAGTGCAGTCACAAATAATGCAGCCACAAATGCCACAACCACAAATAGTGCAGTCACAAAT